CCCCAAAACCCCAAAACCCCAAAACCCCAAAACCCCGTTGATTGATTATTGTGTGCAAATTAAAGGATTAATTAAAGAATAAATAATGATTAAGCATATATAATCTCGCAGCATTTATTTAGGATTTCAGAATCTCTCAGCTAGTCTCTTTCCAACTGTTCTGAGCTTAGAGTAGACTTTACCTGGGGGAGAACCAAGAATCAAACTGCAGACTGCGTCTCTTGCGAATTGTATGTTATTGAAGCAACCAAGAATGTGGATTTTGCTGTCAGCAACAACAATACGACTTCTGGTAGCATTTTCGATAGCATACTTAGTCTTTCCCTTTTCTCCACATATTCTTCCAATACATCTACTCAAGTGATCTCCATGAAGTGTCTTCACATCCTTAATCTCGAAAGTCTCTAAATACAAGTCATCTAGTCTCAAGATAGCTACTGCGTCCTAGATCTCAAAACCTAACATGAATGCCTTAAGGAAGTCAGCTGATTTCTATATTGCTCCAACATCTTCTGTCTTGTTTGAAGTCTAGAGGGATTTATAACGATGATTTGAAAATTACTCTGATTTCGATGCATCTACGCTTGGTGTTCATTCTCACTTGAAGTTTCATGTGCTCAACAAGAGTCTTCAAAATGCTATCCCAGTTTTACTTCAAGGGAGTGTACCTGTGTCTAGGAACTGGAATTCTTCTATATTCGTTCTTTACTCCTAACTAAACAAACACATTACTATCTGATTAAACATGAATTTCATTCTTGATATGTAGCATGAGATAGAAACTTACATCAGAGATCTTAACTTTATCGAATTCAATATCCTTTTATTGCTATACAGTCTCAAACTTCATTAATTCCTCTTGATCTTCCTAACCAAGCTCCATGTCTTCATCTACACCGTCAAAAGTGGCATCATTATTGGTGCTGATTGATTCCTTAGTCTCTTCTAATTATACTTTCTATTTGGCTTCCTAAAATCAATTGATTAGCTATAATGCCCAAGAAAAAACAGATTAGTATTAGCAAATGAGATTGACTCTGTATATATGTAGGTATTACCATTTTATTAGCTTAGTTTAGTTAAGAGTTTATTTCTATTATTTAATAATTTTTCTTAATAGCAAATTATGCATTCTCATGGGGTTTTGGGG